TGGGTTTAAACTGCTGACTTTGTGGTTACCAGTCCACTGCTTGTCCTACAGAAGTGTCAGGGCTTACTAGTAATTTTTTAATGTAATACAGAAATAAAAACTTTTTTTAAACCTGCCATGACTTTTATTTTTCATCCCACCCTGAGTGCAAACACTATTTACATGTTGATAGGTGGAATCCTTCCAAACTTTTACATGCAAATGATATAAACTTATACTTTTAAAACAAAAAGGGGCTCCTTCTCTGCACATAATTCTGCACCTCACCTTTTTTTTTTTTCACTTAACCTAGAACAAATATCTTTTTAAGCCAGTATTATGTGATTATTTACCTTCCTCTTTTAGATTCCCTGGATGGCACAAACAGTTAAACAATGAGTTATTAACCAAAAGGTTGATAGTTTAAACTCTAGAGGTTCCTTGAAAGAAAGTCCTGGTTATCTGCTTCTGAAAAACCAGCCACTGGAAACCCTTTGAAATGTAGTTCTGTTCTGATGCATGTGGGGTCACCATGAGTCAGAGCTGACTCAACAACTAGTTATCTGGTTTTAAAGGCTCTACAGGATTTTGTGTTATGGTACATGGAGGTTTATTTAATCATGCCCTTAGTATTTAAAGTTTCTAATTTTTCAACATTGCAATGATACAAAGTGCCTCCTTGGAACCCTGAACTTTTTGTGTCCTTTTGTGAGCATTGCTGGAGTTGAGTCCAGAAAGCATAACACTGGTTTGCAAACATCCTGAAGGTGGGGCCCATATCAGTGCCTGTCACAGTCTGTGTACTTTTCTGCTTAGAAGATATTTGATGAACAATTGAATGAACAAACATACACATTTATTCATGGCTGTGAAGTACTGCAGAACAAGTGACCACCTGTCATTTTCACTCGGATACTTCTTTCAACAGGTTCCATGAATAACAGAGATGGAAAAGCAGACCAGAGTGTCCTGGCTGTGTTCCAGGACTATGTTAAACTGATGCCTCTAGTTGCAGAAGCAAATCAAATGAGTGAAGAGTTGAAGAAGGTAATGGTTTTCATTTCCTAGAACAACTATAATGAAATACTACAAAGCATGTGACTTTAAAGAGCAGAAATATATTGTTTCACAGCTCTAGAGGATGGAAATCAGGGTATTGGCTGTGTTGAGTCCTCTGAGGCTGTAAGAGAGAATCTGTTTCATGCTTCTTTTCTAGCTTCTGGTAGCCCCAGGAATTCTTTGGCCTCTTTCCTCTGGCTCTTTCTTTCTGTGTATCCTTTTAAAAATAATGATGCCAGTCATATAGGATTAGGACCGACCCCCCTTCCATAAAACCTCATGTTACTCTAACTAATAAATATCCTATTTCCAAACAGGGTCACATTCACAAGTACAAGAGTATTTCAAGATATTTTGGGGTTAGGGAGACACAATTCAATCTACGACAGCATTTTTTTTTTAACATTTTCAAAAGTTTGTTTGATTGTGATAAAAAAAATACAAGGGGGGGACTTCAAAAATGTTATTAAAAACTAGAATTAAGAAGGCATGGCTTTATGGCAGCTAGTGTAGAGGTGCAGTGAGGTTCTCCATCAGCAATACCACAGAATACCAGGCAAAGCTCCAAAACT